CTTCGGAGTCAAAAGTTTGAATTGGGTCAAGCATTTTGGGTCCAAAGATGTATCTCAAACATTTGCCGGATACTTGGTCTGACAGAGCTTTTTGGTCAGGTTGGTTACTCTCCTTGCTCTCGCACATCGCCTCAGCTCTGCCCACATGTTTCCTGTCGGACCGAGATCAGGGATTTCTTTTGGCATCTCCAAAACATTTACTTTGTCTTTAAGTCACTTTTAGCTAATGTGGTGGTATGCTTGGGTGTCACTATATGTTTGGAAGTCCCGTTTGTTCCAAAGTCTAAACTTCCTGGCTGAAGTCTTAAAAAATGCTGCCTTCCTGTCTCTCCTGCAGCAAAGTACTTACATGAAGGAGGATCTTCTCATGCATGAACATTTCTCTCTTTTCCTTCCAAATGGAGAAATTGTCAATTTAGGTTGATCAGACCACAAGATGCGTCTCTGAAAATTAAGGTCTTTGTTCCTATCTGTATTTGCAAGCTGTCATTTGGGTTTTTTTTATGTTGCTTTTGAGCTCATTTCAGCACATGAAGAAATTAATTAAAAAGTTTTATAAAGTAAAGCAAATATCTGATTTAATCAATGTGACATTTTTTGACCTTTTTTTGTTTGTTTTTTTGGTGATGGATTCAGTTGAATTTGAGTTTGTGTGGCCTTGAATATTCTGTGTCTGTCTTTTTACTTTTTAATTAGCTTTTGGGGTTTGCTTTGTGGTTCTATTAATTAAAAGTACAAAATAACACAATGAATTATTATTATTTACATCCTTGCTCCTTGTTTAGGCTAGGGGTACTATCAATGACAGGCAGGAATGAAATTATTATGGTAAACATCCTTTGACTAGTTTATTATTATCATTATTATTATTATTATTAAAACTGGACTTTTTTTAGTGAAAAAACATTATTATGCATAAAATTATTCACTCTGCATTCATTGTTAATGTATAATTATACACAAAGACCAAGTGTGACACATATATATATATATATATATATATATATATATATATATATATATATATATATATATATATATATATATATATATATATATAAATTTTTTGTTTTTGTGATTTTCAGACTGT